ATGTTTGCTTTCAACTGTCGTATGCTAGCAATATCCAAACGAGCTGCACATTTCTACTTGAAGAACACACTAATTTCAATTAGTAGATTTAAAATATCACTTGGTAAGCAGCTAAATGAGGTTGGCAACAAATTTTAACGAAAAATATCATAATCATGGATTTTCATTCCAAATATATTTCTTGTCTCCACATCAATACAATGACTCAAATTTGAAGCATATTACTTAGAAATTTCAATCCAGGGAGCCACTCACAAATTTACCTACGTTGAGCCAACGTAAGAGAATATTTTGCTTTCAAAAGCTTGCTAGTAACAGTTTTCTGAATCTCCAACTCCCGAATTCTACAAATCTCCTTCAAATATAGTATGACATTAACATTATCTTTAACTTTTCCATTAACATCCATCACATCATTGAATAAATTGTTAAAAAAACTTCCTTTATGTGCATCACAACGAGATTTTGCCTGATCATGTTATCCTTCTAGTAAAACTGCTCCCAAAAAATGGATTTCTTTGAGTAGTTATAAATAACACTAAAGCCTGGTGGGTGATGAGAAGAAAGTTTAGGACAAACAGTAATCTTTGAAATGTCACTGAGAAACTAAAATAAATCATTCTCAAATACTATTGGAGGTGACGTTGATTTCTCAATTTTGTTTTTCTTGAACACACTTTTGTTCCTCCTCAAAGGATGTCCATAATAAAAAATCATACAAACCATGAATTCTTTTTGTCATGCTGAAGCGTGAATGCCTTAAATGAATTCATTCAATATAGACATGCAAATATTCCTGTAGTCATCCAACTAGATAACATTCCAAACAGTGAAAAATCACTTATCATCCACATCATTGTTGTTTTGATCCTAAAATTGTGTTTCGTTGTAACATCATAAGTCATGACACTACTTTTCCCAAAGAATCTGAAACTCATCTATCAGTGGCTACAAGTATACATCAATCCAAGCTTTACGACTACTGGGAATTGGTATAATCAATGTTGGGACGATCACTGAACAACAAGATGAAGCTATCGTAGACTGACTATTTGGTGAGAAGACATTCGAGCATAAGCTTATTCACACCTTATCGTGGTTCCGCAACAAACTGGGGATGTAAAAGATAAAAAAATTTCCATACCTCTTCATCCTATAACCTATTATGATGTCATGCCATATGTGGAGCAGTACACGAGTGATGCAGGATTCGAGAAAATTAATATTAAATTAATAATAATGATGCAATGTAACCCAAACAATAATATAACTTTAATGAAAAAAAAATTATCTTTAGAACCTCTTTTAAAGTCCCAATTCCCTTTTACATATAACGCAAGTATACATATCGTTCAAGTAATACAGGGCTCTAATGGAGTCCTAGATATCGATCCGATAGGGAAGCTGGAAATATATATAAGATAGCTATTTATATTCTATTATAAACTAAAAATATAAATAAAGTAAAGTACGAAGTTTGAAGTTAAACCACTTAAGTGAAATGCTACTAAATATGCAGATGTACAACTGGAACAAGTAAATTAAACTAAATGCTAAACTTTTTAAAGTAAATTACTGAAATAAAATAGAGGTTTTTATTGACGAAATGTTCAAGTATGAGAAAACATCCTTCCCCTTTGCAATGAAAATATGGCTTGTGAAGAAATAGAAATCATTTGAAAAATATGTTTAAAAACTGTTTTGTGTCAAATAGGAGCAATCTTATTATCTACCCTCTCCCGAGTGATATAAAGAACATTGACTAATCCAAAGTTTGGTCCCTAATTCTGTGGTTAGGCTGGGAGGATATCGGTTGTTACTCCAAAGCTCCCACTACTCCCTCACCTGAGGGCTAACATGCTCGCATTAGTTTCCAATCAACTAAATCAAATTGAGGATTCTAATCTGTCACCTTAAAATCTTTCAATTCTACATCCAACAAAGTATATTTTCCTATTTATTTGCTTCCAATCCCATTGATGAAATACTCTCCCATGAAATAAAATGTGATTCTCCCTTTGTTGTAGAAATCATATCCCCTTTTCAGAACATATATTTCTCAACACAATTTAACAATTTAATTGGTCAGATCGAGAAGTAAATGAAGATCGAAGTTCAAATCAACATAAATTATTGACATTTAAAACCGTAGAAAACAAAATCAATTCTTCACAAAACCATTTCTTCAAAGTAGGGAGAAGGATAAAGAAGACTACTCAGAATTCATGAGAAAAATACGATAAAACATGAATTTCATATATAAAAATAAGTTTACAAACAAAAGAAATGTAAAATACAACTTAACTCACAATCCTTCCCAAGCAAATTTCTAGAAGCTCTCTTCAAGTCTTTCTCTTTTTACAATCACTCTCAATTCTCTCTTAAAAATGTAATGAAGAAGAAATCTCTCATCTTCCCTCTCCTCTTACAACCCTAGAAGAAAATCTCCTCTTCTCTCTCTAACTCATGTAAGTTCTCTCTCTCCATCTCGTCACACTCTAGAAGTCCCCCCTCCTTTTAGACTGCTTCCTCTCAAAAAATTTTCAATTTCCCTTGAAAATTCAAAAGTCAAAACTTTGAATTTCAAAAGATGCGCCTCCTTGATCCAAGAGTCAAATCCCTTCAAATTGGAACCTTCCATAGTGTCTAAATGCATTGCATCACTCTATGGGGTGTTTAGAACAAGTTTCCCTTTGAAAATTTGTGCAAAATTTGTCTCAAACCGCTTTAATTTGAAAATGTTACGCCTGGCGCATCATGCGCCAACGCTCTGAATTTTGGCGCATCATGCACCAAACCCCA